TAATGAAAAGATCATATATTTATTAATATAATTTAGTAAACGATTTAATATAATTTATTAATGCATTTATGAAGATAACTTTATTTCGAAGCTTTACAAAAGCAAAGATAAAACAGCTCCAGACACTCGAATCCCCCCAAACTCTGCCTATGCTCTTTCTATAAACCTACCTAATCACACATTGCTCATGACAGCTTTATGTCCATGATAGTGTCTTTATCAAATTTCCTTACCTTTGAGTCCAGCGAGGCTTAATCCTTTTCGGGGGGCTGAGATGACTTGTTAAACGTGGTTTTATGATGAGATGATCAGAACACAAAGCAAGAGGTGTCTGTACTCACAGCAGCATTGCAAGTGTCTTGCACAGAGCACAATCACACAGTGAGAGCTATCAGTCCACCACAGAGAATTCAGATTTTGAGACACACACAAAAAAACAAATAGCTGTAAATGTAAGAGTGATGCCCAAAACATACACAAAATGATGTCATCACCTGCCTAAAATTTACGCTATGGCACAAAATATTACTGTCAGATTACAGTCCTATATGTCAATGGCATCTTGTTTTATAGAATTGAAAAGTTCCTCAGATGTATTAGTTGTTCTCTTACCATAGACATATCCATGCAGCAGCTTTGCTCCAGATATAGCCATTTTAGATATAGAACAGATCTAAGAGAAAAGGGTTTTTGTAAGATCTCTCTTCTTCTGTTCAATGCTAATGAGGTTTGGGGAGAAGGTGCAATGTAGATGATAATCGTTATAGTGTGTCAGTTTCTGAAAATCTATCATTTTCAATCATAAACACATTAACAGATGTCTTTTGTACATATATATAAATATATATATATTCCTCATTCAAATGTAAGAAATTTCATCTTAGCTTACACATGCACACTTAAAAGTCTACGAAAAGAAACCGTGATTAGTGAGTGCAAAAAAGAAGATACTGAAATTCTATTGGCTGGGAATGTTGGACATTATGCAAATGAAGCTGTGCTGAGTTGAACGCTTTGAACCCTTTCCTAAATGCTCAATTGCCTTGGCAAACCTCCATCCTCAGCACATCCATGCACTGTAGGAACACGAGCGACATCGACCTCCCAGACAAGAGGGCCGTAGATGGACTTGTTAAAAAAAATCAGAAAAAAAAGAGCAAGGACTGCATTTCCCATGCTGCACTGCGTCGAAAACACATTCTGTTAAGTTGTGAATGCTGCTCTTTTTTTCTAACCTCATGACTGAAACACTTTCATCTTCACGGGAACCAATCAAAACAGAGGGACTTAACATCCTATTGGCACACATACTGTATATGCATAGTGAGTTTGAGAGTTTGAGAGAAAGGACCTAATATTAGCAGAAGGGAAACAAAGGTGACATCCATTCCTTTCAGTCAGCAACAGCCAAGAGCTTAAAGAGGCATTGATTGGTGGACTAAGGTAGCATCATCCACAGGAACCGAGTGTAGAACATTGACGATGCACTGCCCCTCAAACACCAGCCTCACTCTTCCTCCTGCCTGCATTTTCTCATGTTCACAAATGCCATCGTTAAAAAACTGTATGTAAAAAAAGCAAAAGACAATCCTGAACAATTGTGACTTGATCCCTCGGAAAACGGCATAGTGTTGTGTGAGATCTCACTCTGACTCTCTAGCCTTTAGTGGAGTGGTGACAATACAGGGCCTTCAAGTCTTGTAGCCATAGCTTGAACCGTGTCCTCACTCTGCAACATGAGCATTTTCCTCTGTTTAGCTGCAAACATTTTTTTTTTTATTGTCTGGATATATTTATTTCTGTCTTGCCATTCCAGTTGTGCTTTATTTGTTGTTTTGTGTTCCTTTTTTATTTAGTAAATGAAATAGATTTTTTGTTGACTTTTTCTTTAAAAACTCCGGTTGTAGGACACTGACAGTCTGAAGGGAATCAATGTTGCGAGTCTCAACATTCCAAATGTAAAACATGCATCTCAGATTGGTCTCCAAATGACTGAATACGACATCCAAATGACGCAACTTCTAAAGAGAAAAAACTCTAAGTTGTCTTCAACAGCTTAGTTTTGATACGTGGCTCAAAGCCTGCTTATTACCTCTTACTTGTTACTCATTAGATTCATCGATGAACAGATGAAATGATATGTGCAGGATCATTAGGTAAGATATATTCTGATGTTACACTGTATAAATTATTAAATTGGTTAACATAGTAGCACTTTACAATCCGCGAAGGAAAAATGTTTATGGGATGGAGCCTTAAAACCACCTAAATGATCCTAAATTATGAAATGCAGCTGATCATTCTCAAGCCATAATGTTCTGTCGTTATTTGCTCTGCATTGTAATTATTTGTTCCCTTACACCATGCAAGAGAATGTGAACCCGTCAAGCATTGGGCTTTGAGTTGAGAAAAGAAAAATTTATCTGGGCTTATTCGAATGAAATGGTGATTGCAAGAAAGCGAGCATTTGAATTTACTTACATCAGAAATATGTTGGAGTATTGAGAGTTCAAAAGTTGTACCAGGCCATTGATCTTTGTTTGCTTGGACTTTTTTGTTCCTTGTTTTGTACATTTTGTTTCTAAATGACATTAGAAGTGTAAGATTTTTAGGAAGCTGTCTGGACATCTGAGGCTGGTGAACACACGACACATGAAAAGGAAAAGGAAAAGGCAAGAAATTCTACAACTTTTAAATTTTTTTTTAAACCGTGCAGCTAAACTCTGCAATCAAATGTGGTAACAACCATTGCCTGTGATATATTTTAATTTTGTGGTGCTTTGTAATATTATTATGATTATGGTATTTTATTTGTTTTTACTCCTGTACTTATTAGAAACTGTAGGCTGAAGCTCAGTTTCTCTTTGTATACCAGTGTGAAGCTTTGTATGATTTCTTTCTGGTTTTTTGACTCAGTGGAAGTGTGTGATGTTTACATGTACAGAATTTAAGATTTGTTTGTTGTTGCTTTAATTTCTGTTGTTGTTGGTTTTGTTTGTCCTTTGTAAAGCCCCGCCTATCGTCCTGTTGTGACCTCACAATGTGCTTTTTACTTTAAATCAAATCTGAATGGAGGAGAACATGGACATGCTGAACTTAAACCCCAGTAAAGGCCTTTGCACGCTTTTTGCATCAATCTCTGTATATTTATTTTCTCAACTTGTTGCTTTATTCCATGCAAATGTTTTTTAAAGACAATTAAGAACATTGTGTGAATTGTGAGTTATTAGCTATGCTTTTGTTTTTTCCTTTGTCAAACTTCAGTTTCACATCCAGTGCAAAACGTTGTCTGTGTAAGGGCCTTTAAACGTGGTTGTCACTACTGATGGTAGATGCCTAGGGCGAGAGAGAGGAGGGACTTATCATCAGCTCAAAGGGCACCACTAATTTTCTTCTCCACAAATGTGGGAGTAAAATGCCCCCTTACAGTAGTCCCTTAGTTATTTATGCTTGTTCTAGAGAAAAAGCAAAAGACAAAACTCTTGATGTCATGTCATTTTTTTTTTACATTATTGGGAATATAGATAGCGGCATCGTGTTTGGGATGGGGCAGATCCACCCAACTCGTAAACCAACTGACCTGTGCTCTTTGACCTCAGTCAGAAGCCTCTCATTGAGTCAGAAAGCCATTCCCCTTACACTGTTCTTATGTACGGGACACATGCAAACCTCAGGAACCCTTTGGATCTGTGTTACTTTTTTTAACCAGGTCTGTACATCTTGGCTGACGAGTCCTCCCTCTCTCCAATATAAACCCAGTTATATTGGATTTGCTATGTATGTGTTTTGTTTGTTTTTTTATATATTTATTGTGATTTCAAAGTGAATCCAGTACATGTGGCTGAATATTTGAATTCTTTAGAAAAGTGTTGATCAGCATAAATATATATATATAAATATCTGTGAAGCGCCTAAAAGATGGAGAACATGGCAGGTGAAATTCATTTCTGTTTGTTTAATGTAAAAACAAAGAAAAGAAGAAAAAAATGAAAAAGCACAGGTGGGTGAATTTCCTGCCTTTTACATATCACTTTGCCGAGAGACTCATTCTAAAAGACATTTTAAAGTTTTCAGTGTGGTGTCATCGCTGTGGTCAGAGAAAGCACCTGCAACCCGAGTTGCTCTTTCCTCCAGAGCTGTCTGAATAAAATCTGTGAACTGAAGTCACACTGCAGTCTGCCTTTCTTTCAGTGGCCATGATCACTATTTTCTTGTCCCATGTCAGCGGCATGAAGAGCAGGTGTTTTTGTAGTTTAGTCTGTTGTTTTCCCTGAGCAGGATGCAATGTAAAAATTGAAGCACTATTTAGAGTTCCTCAGCTCACATCGCCACAGTGCTACCATTTGGAGAAACTCTAGACTGCTTTAATTGGAGTCTAAAACTTTTTCCTTATGAGGGCATTACTGGAAGAACTGCGGACACTCTTTAGAGTTCTTGCAGAAACTTTCACGGTTTTGAAAACTGCCCTTTTTGAAGAGTCTAGAAATTCTCCAGAGGGTTCTGGCAGCGTCTCAAATCTGTAAAACCCCATATGGTGGCTCAAGTTTCTTTTTTTCCCCGCAGTGTTAAAAACGTCAGCTTTTATTATGATGCAATGAAAAGAGGCCTCATACTATACTGCACGCAAGTGTACAAAATGTATTACATTATGGAAAAGATAATGCCATCTCAAAGGCAAATTGGAACAGTAGCTATCCCAATTTACCTAAATTCATTCAACATACACTCTTAAAAATAAAGGTGCTTCACGATGCCATAGAAGAACCTTTTTGTCTAAATGGTTCCATAAAGAACCTTTAACATCTGAAGAACCTTTCTGTTTCACAAAAGGTTCTTTGTGGCGAAAGAAGGTTCTTCAGATTATAAAAAGGTAAGAAAGAGATGGTTCTTTAAAGAACCTTTGACTGAATGGTTCTTTGTGGAACCAAATATGGTTCTTCTATGGCATCGCTTGAAGAACCTTTTGAAGCACCTTTATTTTTAAGAGTGTATTAGGCCTATATAAAGTACAATCTGCAAATATCTGTCTAATCTTGCTCACTTTTTGATTAATGTAGGAAATGAATTGTTTCTGTCATATATGCATACTACATGCTCTGGATCTGAACTTCAAGGAGTGTAAAGCTCGTTGAGTTTCGTACCTGTTTAAACTGTGGTCGTGTCTCAAATCTGATTGTGCTACATAACTAAACAGCATTCTTGGGTACAGGCGCTGTCAGAAATGCTGTCCAGGTTGATGGTGGTTGCGGCACAACCTGTCCTGTGTGTGCTCCTCCCAGCTCTTTCACTCGAGTTTAGTCATTTGCCGGTGGAGGACTCAGCTTCCACGTACCATCAGTCCGGAACCTGTTACAGTCATCGATTAACATTCAAATGAAATGTCCAAGGACGGGTGCCGCTCGTGCCCCGGTTTGGGGGTGCTTTGTGAGAGACTGTTTGGGTCGTCTAAGACCGAAGTTGAAAAACCAGCGAATACCAGCAAACTTCAGACACAAAATGCCCCGAATCCGCCCTCTTCTGAGCCCGCCGGTGAAATCTACACGGCGCTGTGGCACTTCCAGGCTCGCGCGGACGAGGAACTGTCCTTCCAGGAGGGAGAGCAGTTCCGAATCTGCGAGCGTCAGGGTGACTGGTGGACTGCCGTTAAACTGGACAGAAACGGAAGGGTGACAGCCAAGGGCGTCGTTCCTCAAAACTACCTAGCGAGAAGGAAGACGGTGAAAGAGCAACCGTAAGTAGGCTACTTTCTTTGTTTTTTAGTCCATCTACTCTTTCCATCTACTTTTTTTCCCCAGACCATTTACTCTGTGAGCAAAAACAATCCACAGACACTCTGGGTTGGCTTTAAAAATAACATCTGATAAATAATTTAATGTAAAAAAAAAATTTTTTCTCAGTACTTGCCTAATAACAAAATGAACACCTTTATGACTAAAAACAATGTCAGTTCAGAGTAGCCTACAGAGTGCAAATACTTTTCAAGAGTCAAATTATTCCTGTCCCAACTCTGCTCCTCACGAATGTGGTTTGAGACGTGTGTGCAACATCTGAACAACTGTGTTTTTCTTTAGTTGGTATTTTGGGACGCTGAACCGCTTTGAGACCCAGAATTTGCTCTTGGCTCCAGGGAATGGAGTTGGTGCTTTTTTGTTGCGACACAGTGAAAGAGATCATATAGGGTGTGTATTATCAGGTATGTAATTGTGTCTATTGAACTTGGTTTTAAACGCAAGCTGCATTTTACATCCTGTTCCGCCTATGCTATTACTCTATACAAGTAACACGGCATACCCAACATCATTGTTATAATGTAGTAAATTAATCTCTGAGGCATTTGCTTTTTGTTAAACTGGAAATGTAGTCAATCAGGTCATAATTAGACCTGCTGTGTTTATAGTCCAAACATGTTCTTCTCTCCTGTTCGGTTAATTCACTGTTTTCCAACCCTGTTCCTGTAGGTTACACTGATTAAAGTGTGTTTTATTGGGAAAAGTTCAAAAATGTATAGTGTTGGTGTGCCTCAAGGAACAGGGTTGGGAAACACTGGGTTAATTCATGCTAGATGCAGTTCATCAGAAAATCTGTTAACAGTGCTCCTACTATCTGTATCCTTTCTCTTTGTGTGTCATTCCATCAGTGTTAATCAGTGACAGGGAAGTGAAACACATTAAGGTCCATCAGAATCAGAATGTAAGTTTCTATTTGGATCAGAGTCAGATGTTTCAGAGCCTGGAGAATCTGGTGGAGCACTACAAGAGGAACATCATGAGCTGTGGTATCTGTCTCACACAGCCATGTGCACGGGTGAGTGAAAGAAAAATCATTAAAGTAAAATTTGACATTGTTTACATACATCATGTTTTTTCAAACAATTTTCTTTCTTCTGTGAAACACAAAAGGTGAATTTTTGAAGAATATACTGGCCACTCTTGAACGAAAATTATAGTAGGATTGATGCTGTTGTAGGGGAATTTACAGTTAAACCCAAAGGACCGGTTGATGAAACGACGAACAAGAGTCAGAGATGCAATCAACTGAAGAAAATAGTTTGCAGTTTCATTAGCAGAAGTCAGCTTCAACACTCTCGATGGAGTTCGTAGGCCGCTCTGTGTACATGCTCAAAACACCAGCAATTATACTCTATCAGAGGTTACTAATTACGTCAAGGTATAGGTCCGGAGGATTCTGATTGGTTAAAACATAGATAAACTTAGATAATCTCCACACATGGACGTAAAACTCGAAGCATATCTTCTAGTGATTATTTTGGTGACAAGTGATCAGAGGTCAGACTCAATAGGTCTCTCCAGAGACATATATCTGATACCCCGGACATCAGGGTGACGGCAAATGACGGTTTACTCCTGGACCTGTCTCCGCATCTAGCTGCAAAGACAGACACTCACATATGCATAGAACACTGATCTGTACTTAAAGGGGTCATATGACGTTGCTAAAAAAACATTATTTTGTATATTTGGTGTAATGAAATGTTTATGCGGTTTAAGGTTAAAAAAACACATTATTTTCCACATACTGTACATTATTGTTTCTCCTCTATGCCCCGCCTTTCTGAAACACGTCGATTTTTACAAAGCTCATCGGTCTGAAAAGCAAGGTGTGCTCTGATTGGCCAGCTATCCAGTGCATTGTGATTGGCTGAATACCTCAAGCGTGTGACGGAAATGTTACGCCCCTTACCAGGTTCAGGAAACTTTCCTCCATAAAATGCGTTGCACACACACGAATATTTGGTTTGAACTGTTCTGGAACAATGTTGTAAATAAAACTTAACCACTTCTAGTTGTGTCCTCTTTTGGAAGGCCAAACAAAGTATTTTCGCTTTTGCAACGAAACACAGCGTCTTCACGACATGGCGGCAGCGGCAACAATAAAGTTACGCCTTCTTTCTTTGCGTGAACATTTGAGCGGCGGTATGCAAATCTTCCCACACAGTGACCTAGACATGTGGGGGCATGTTTAAACGAGGTGTTTTAGGAGGGCGTGGACCAGTCTTAACTTTTACAAAGAATATCTCTTTGGGTTTGTGACCTTAGTCTTTGCAACTTTAGGGATCTTATCTATTTACGAACAGCTTGCAACACTCCTAAGAGAAAGGAAAACTTGAAATCGCATCATATGACCCCTTTAAAGGTTGCCGGGCTCTGCCAAATCAAATAAAGCAATAAGCCCCAAGAAGCCGTGGTTTACAGTGAATTTATAACAGCTAAGGGGCGTTGTTAGGCGCGTAGCGGAAGCTTTTATAAAACGGTTATTCCATATACGTAGTAAGGTTTCACAAAATAAAACAGAGCAAATAAAGTGTAATGATATTAATAAAAACAGTGTTCTTATACCAAACAATGTAGTTCCTCAGAAACAGTTGTGGTTGCAACCAGAGCCGTTGAGAAACAGAGTTGCGACATGCTTTGATCTCGCCGCCACGCGGTTCATGGAGCTCTCAATAGTTCCAAACAACTCCGCGCTGTCAATATGTTTGAATGGGTTTAAGTAGGATAGACAGCAGTTTCACTATATTTTCAGCAATTTCTAGTGATTATTAACACATCATGTGCATTTATTGTGTATTGATAACTACGCTGACTACGTTTTACAATCGCATTTTATTCTGGGGAGTGATGAAGAGACAGCATTAATATTTTTTCTAATATGCTTATTATTGATATTACAATTAGTGTAGTATTTAGGGTTAAAACAGTGCAAAGAGGCAAATTAGAGACGTTTGGTGGCCAGAAAAATAATACTCCTATGTAATGCCATGGTTTAACCACTAGATGCCCGTATGGCTGTTTAATACAACTGCGCTAAACACTGAGACAAGAAATAAATACACTTACAAGCTGCTTTTAACTTCTGCTGATTGACTGCTTCTCACAAAGAGTATTTCTTTACACTGTTTTGCTGGCGCTTAATCACACTTTCCTGTTTATCACAACAAATGGCCAAGCAAAGCGCATGACACTGACAAGGTACGCGTCAGTACCTTAAGTAAATAAGTTTTGCTTTTTTTTAAATGTTGAATTTAAAAAGATTAATTAGGCTACTCATATCCCAGCATTATTTTATGACATTTATGTAAGAAGACAATATAAGTTAATGTTAAAAAAGGCCAGCAAATATGGAATTTAACCCAATAAAAAATTTTTAAATAACGTTTAAAAAAACACAAGGCAACCAACTGCATTCAGGGAAACTCTTTCTTGTATTCCTTTAATGGGCAGTCTTCACTGAAACTCATTCAACTTCCTACAGGGAGAGAAAGAATGCAGAAAGATTAAAAACTTAAAAATATGACAACTAGCATCTGGTTATGATCGCTATTAAGGTGTTTCTCATGTTATCTAACTGCAAATATAGCATAACTGCCTATTACCTCAAATTAAACATTAACTATAACGCGTTTCATAAAATACAACTACTGGCCAGATTTCCGAGAGGTAAACTAATGCATTAAAATGCCAAAAACGGCTGTAATTTCCTCAACTTTCTGGCGAGTGTGCTTGAGAAGCACTGAAATGAATGG